CCTTCTCCTTCTCCTCCTCTTCCTCCTTCACCTTCTTTACCCGGGTTTGGGTGGTTTTGTGTAATTGGATAAAGAAGTCCAGATTGCAGACTTCGAGTGATTATTTATTAGGTTAAAAGTAAAAATAATTTAGGTGACATTTCTAATTAAATAGTTTAAAAAAACCTCATCTAGAAAGATAGTTAACCATTTTGTACCTTGTTAGTGAGATACTACAGAACGCACTATTGTGAGACTGTAACATAAATAAGAAAAAATAAACATCTAATCCTAAATGCAAAATACCATCTCAAGTACCTTCAATCCTGACTCCAACAGAAGTACAGAAAAGAAGCCAAAAACCAGCATATGATGATGTTTTGTGTGAGGAATAAAATATTGATATTGAGTTTTGTTTTGTAAAATTATATAGAGATATGTAAGATAACGATGTAAGTATTAATTATTAATATTATTTGGTTATGAGTATGAAGAAATATTAGAGTAAAACAGTGTATGTAGTGAAGAAGAAATTGGTAATAATTGGGAATTAATTAGATAATATATATAATTAATAATACATATGAAATTATATAATTAGAAAGTACTATAATCAAAAAGTACTAGAATGAGATTTTGGGAATAAATCCTTTCCCCATGGCAGGGTGGGCAGGGGCTGGGATGGAATTCCCAGAGCAGCAGGGGCTGCCCCTGGATCCCCGGCAGTGCCCAAGGCCAGCTTGGATTTTCTTTTGTCTTCTGATGGCAAATAAGTGTGGGTTTGCTTTTCTTTTTCAGAAATCCTCTCTGGTGGATATCCCAGTGCTGCAGTTCAGTTTTGCTTTCATTCAGAGGTAACTCAGTCCTTCTGAAAGAGAATTTTCTGTTTGACTCCAGCGAGGGAACAGCCAGTATTGCCATTTTTCTTTGCTTTGATCTCCATGTCCCAGAACACTTCTATGCAGGAAATGTGCTGTCCCTTGGTTGTTGACACACACACAGAGTGCCAGGGCTGTGACACTGCAAGGGGAAGTGACACTGACACTCAGGAAGGGTGGGACTGATCCTAAAGCTTTTAGGCCACCAAGTTCCTCTTATTTGTTGTTTTTTGTTCTTTCCTTAACTCTACCTTCACTCAGGTGTGCTTTGGTTTTATTTTTTTTGGCAGACTCCCTGTCCCAGCCCTGCAGGAGAACTTCCAGCCCTTGTTAGGGCTCCTCAGAGAGTCTGTGCAGCTGAACTTGGCTCCTCCTGGCCACTTCCTTCTCCTCAGGTACTGTGGGAGAGAGCTGAGGTTTCACTGAGCTTTTACACTGTGCCATTCCTAACTAAGGGTGCTCTGATCTCCCCACAGCATCCTGAATGACTTTGTGACAAGGACACCCACCCTGGAGAACAAAAAGGACCAGAAAGACCTGCAGGTACAGAGGGTTCAAATTCACCTTTTAGTTCCTAAACCTGGCACTGTTCATGTAAGGACAAGTGGAGATGACCTGATCTGTGCTTTGGATCTGAATTCCTATGTTTTGGGAGTGCCTGGATGTGCATCCACCCATTTTGGCTGAGGCCTGGTGAACAGGGCAGACTCAAGCATGAGAGACAAACAGAATTTTGTCCCAAATGCTTGAAATCTTTTCAAAGCTGGTTTGGTTTTTTTTTATTTTTTATTATTTTTCTCAGAACTGAGCTGGTAACACAAGTGGGTTGTCCTGAGTTCACGTCCTGTGTGTGGATATTGAAATCTCCAAGCTGTCTAGGAAAATTAATTAATCCTTGGAGCTCCCAGCTGGGCTTGGCAATGGGAATGACTCTGAGCTCAGCTGTGTAAAGAAAGGAGCAGAGCAGAATCCTCCTCCTGTTCTGCCTTATTTCACCAGCAGTTTGAACACTGCTTACCTGGGTGGGTTTGGGTTTCATGTGCCAACAGAGAAATTCAATCTCCCCTTCTGCTTCAGAGTCTTGCCAGCAAAATGACAGAAAATGTCATTTTACAGCCTCTGCCTTGCTTTGGCTGGCTGGGATTTGGTTTCATTGCATCTCCTCATTTCCCTGGCAATTAAACATACCAATTAAATATCTGATGCCACTTCGGTTATATTACAGGAGGTGACCCAAAAGATCCTGGAGGCTGTGGGGACCATTGCTGGTTCTTCCCTGGAACAGACCAGTTGGCTGAGCAGGAATTTGGAAGTGAAAGCTCAGCCTCAGATTTTACCAGATGAATTCAACATGGAGGATGTCAATGGTAATGTGACTTTCCCTGACTCCTGCTGCTCCCTGTCCTCTGCTGCAGGCAGTGAAGAGCACAAGGGGTTTGATGATGTGTGCTTTGCATGATTTCATATTTCACGTAATGCCAATTTGCACATAAATGTTCTGTTTGAGCAGCAGATTAGGAAACAGCCACATTTAAACCTGTCTGAAGAGAAAACTCGATTATTTTGCTTTTTTTTTAGATACATCAGTGGTACCATCTTCAATGGTTTCTGCCTCTGCTCCTTCAATCTACAGTGTCCAAGCCCTTTCTCTCCTGGCAGAGGTCAGTGGGGCCCTCTCATCTCTGGGGTTTTTTAAGCTGAGGACCTCCTCACTCTGCACAGCTCCTGA